TGTAAAGCCGGACTTACAGATCATGCGACTCAGAAGTAAACTGAGATGTATTCACCCTATTTTGTCTAAGTTTCTCATCAACTTTTGGGAAAAAAGGGCTATGTGAAATTCAATGGAAACATCAGCTCAACTCATACCATTGTGGGAAAATTCTTCTTCTACCAGTCCTTCATCAGCTTAGACCAAATAGGGTGAATACATCTCATATTACTGATTTAATGGTAGTTTCGAAACTCTACTCTAACATATGTAAACTGTTCCGTTGCAAAGAACGTTTGATGGACCGGAGTTTGATGATGCCCTTAGCTCTTTGGAATATGATCGAGTCCATGGTCTATTCAGTCTTGGGGTTCTGGTCAGCAAGGATGATATCCACGAAGAAAAAGATAGTTTAAATGAATATTTCCGAGATAAGTTTTGAGAAGACTTTAATTTCGTGTGAAAGTGCGAGCTGAAGAGATTTGAGGGTCGATGTCACCAAAAGACGACGGTTGATTTTCGTTGTTCTACATCCGTTTGGCTTTCTTACGACCTTTAGGTTGATGGGGTCCATGAGACATCCTCCCTTGCTTCGGGATGTTTTTTCTTCGTCATTTGGCGAGTCTCATCAGAGCTGCAATTCATTCCTGCAAAAGTCTCATGTAAACACTTAGCCAAGCAGATTCAGATGGTTAATGTGATCTTAAAAATGGGATGATAATTCTATGCAATGCTTTTTCAGCTATTAATTGGCAAAAATGTAGCTTCTTATTGACGGATTAGCTTTAAAGGCACGAAACTGCCCCACTGCTCTGTGAGACTATAAAATATTAAAAAGATTTTAGACATACTTAACTTGAGACTTTGTAAAAATTAGTTCCAGCTCTAATGGCACCTGTCAAACGACACACAAAAGCTTGGCTCGTTTTCACCCGAAACAACAATGGCTTTCTCGTGGGCGGCGTCAACTTGAAAGTCATAGTAACTCTAAACGGCTGCAGAACAACGCGAGTTAGGCGTCCTCTTCTGGTCAGATCGAAACACAAATCCCGTTCTCTTGCACTCTAATACGGAATTAAATTATCCACCACAAACCGCAAGAATGTTATTTTCACGGGCTTCTGTAAAAAGCGTTTTTTCCGATTAAGAATATATATATTTGTACGCATGTATGCATATTTTAGAAACCTACTCCAAACAAATAAATGTGAGCCAAGTCTATCTGCGACTTGTGGCAAAAAGGTTCTCATTTATGGTAATAAATGAATGCAATTATCAGGAGGCGGTTCTTCTGAGCGTCACAAGTGCATGAACTTTGGCTGTGATACAAGACGTCCTGAGATCAGGGAATAAGTGACCACCAGCCTTAGCTCATGTATGAAGTGACCCTGAGGGTTGGAGAATGGCATTTAAAAGATGTTCGCTTGGTTCCCTGCAGCCAGACACGCGTCTACCCAAAACCAAAAATGGAATATGCGCAGATTGTGACTCTGCGGCCCAGACACACCGAAGGCCATGGCCTTGACCTACGCTATTGCAATCCCACAAGTCGGAAGAGCGTACATTTGGCTCAGAAGAATAATTCGGAATATCACATGACAGTGAGGCTCGAAATGGCCCACAGTAGTACAGCAGCGTGTAATCATGCGTTTCGAACAAATTGACTTAAAGCTCGACGCTGGAGCCGACATGCTCCGGAGCCCGGTAAAACTGTATCGGTTTTGAGGATGGGTGCGAGTTGGGGGTTTCGAGGTCAATTTGGGGCCTGAGTGAAACTGGAAAGAGCTACATGGCGACATGCTGATGCGTAAAAAGGGCTGATCTTCAGATAATTCGTTGCAATGTTGAGGCAATGTTGAGGCCCAAAAGTGAGCTGAAAAGGGGAAGGGAGGAAAAAATGCAAGCAGACAGCTCTTGTGAGTCGGCAAGCTCGATTCAGTGACGCTTCGTGATCACATAATCTTCAATTGATTCACACTTCTGCGAGGCTTGTGAGCAGCTCGACTTCTGCCGTAAGACTGAGAAGAAGATGATGCAACGACGTCAGACCGCATCACCGATAACATTTGCTGCACAGAAGAGGTCAACTTCGAATAAATGACTGCAATGTAAACCAAGTCGAGGGATTGGAATTCGGTTTGTGAAGTCCCAGAGACGAGAGTTTTTCAGCTCATGCAACCATCTTTTGTAGCAGGACAGGCTTTTGGATGTCCGGTGATGCTCGAACAAAAGTGAAATTTCACTTAACTCCGAGTGTAAATGCTCTTTGAAGAAGTGGCTTTTTCCTGTCTCTATTCGAGTGGTCTGTTTATTGGCGACCTGCTGCACTAAGCGATAAGAGGGCAGTGGTCACATTAGGACTGACATTCTATAAGGCTACAAAAGTTAACTCTAGCGTCATTTGTGTCAAATTTGTAATGTACTAATTTACCTTTGCAGACAACATTAAAGAGGGATATATTCGTTCAAATTAGGTTTCGGGAGCATCGGTACATCTTGAATAAGTGCTTCATCAGCATAGATTGTACAACGAGATGAAGAACGGATAGTTGAATTCTACCATAATTGTTTCGGTAGGCCTCACGTTTCAATCGAATTTGCACCCAGCCCTGCTTCCCAAAAGACATCCTCATCCAGACAGAGGTGGACAGCAGTCTGAACCTCGTCTGATCCGGTCTCATCAATTCCCCCCTCTTTAGCTGGAATCGAGCTCGGGTTGTGGCAGTTCAGCGCTGCCACAACTGCCCTTGGGTCACATGGAAAAAGTGCATTTCACATTTCTGTGGTGGAACTTTCGATGAAGCAAAGTTGTTTTTGCCATTGAACCCGACTGACCTACTTAATTCCAGTTTGTAAGTACGCTTTAGAGACTGCTAGGTGAACTTATATAAACGGGGTGATGAATGATTGGTAGCTAAATTTTTCCACAATAAGTAGCCCTTCACTACAAACGAAATAAGGTCATTACGGCCCTACTGATAGCCTCAAAAACGGACCTAGAAACGAAAAATTAAGTGTTATTTAATGGATAAGTCAAACCTGCTCATTGGATTGTGGGAAAACTCAAGTATCCGTCTTTTATCATCTTACTCGGCCTAGGATGGTGGGAAATTCTATAAAAATGTTATGTTTGAATAGGTTTCATTTTATGAAGATAAAAATTATCATTTCCAAAATTGAACCATAGACGTGGTACATTCCCAAACGTTTCATCGGCATCGTAGTCGGCCTAGTAAGTGAGTATCGCCATTCGTAGCACCACACAACAACTCGTCAAAGAAACAAGACTTGTCTCTTTGACGAGTTGTTGCGTGGTACAAAGAATAGTGATAGTCACTGACGATGCCGGCGAAACGTTTGGGAATGTACCATGTCCACGGTTTGACTTTGGAAATGCTGATGCATACAATGGACTCCAGACTAGGTTCGTTCCTCTAAGCCTCCCTACCAACATGACCAAGTAGAGAAAACAATGTCGAACAACTTCTAAACAACGAAATAAGGCTGCAACCACACAAAAGGCCCCACCATTTTGGCCTTCATACCTTCGATAAAAAATATCATTCTTTAAATAAACATAAATGGCCTAGGCTGAGTGAAGTTCCAATGCGAGCATAGCAATAGTCAATAAATCTAGTCTAACTAATAATATTTTGTTATATGCAATTCATGCGAAGCCCTGAAAGTCATACCCGCCCTGTGACCCACTGGTTCTCAAACGTGTTCATGTACTTGTAAACTAACACGCTATCTTTGGCAAAGTGAGGACCACCTTTTGCATGTTGCAACTTCTATTGTCAGTGCTTAACCCAGTCTGGACAACAAAGCATTAAATAAAGTTTTCTAGAGGTTGTTTAGAAACCTACTTATTTGGCATACAGTAATATCGTCAAAGCTGCAACCCAGCTCTGGAAAACATAGCTTCTAGGATAAAGGACAAAAGGAAAAACTCTAGGATCATACAAAATAATCTGTTACAGTATGACGTAATGTGATGTCGTTATGGAGGCGCTTTGCTTGATCGTTGCGGAGCCTGTCAGCAACTGGAATACCATACAACGCTTCAACGAAGGACATGATTTCCATTTCAAAGGAAAAGTTGGTTGGACGTAATTAGAAGAAAACGCAGATGAATTGTTGAGGAATGAAG